ACGAGTGGATTTTAAGACAATTTGCAGTTCGACATTTCTGTAAATTATTTCAGCTGACAAAAATAAACAAGTAAATACATTACAAATGCGTTTGATGACTATTTCCAGTGACACTGTTTTGGAGTTTGGCGGCGGTTTGACACGAGGCAGCCTGTTCATCAAGAGATGAGGCTGCAGCTCCAGTGAGGCCATCACCGGCACACAGGTCAGAGGCCCGACAGCGCTGTGACAGGTGGGAAATGTTTGTCGGGAACACGAGCTGTTGAATGCTTTGTAGCACAGTGACAACATTCTTGACAAACCATTTCAATCCCCCTCCGCCTCCGTGACCCCACGCAAATAAATATGACCCAACACAAATAAGTATGACATGTTCCCCCATTCGATCCCTCCCATCATCTATTGTGCTGGCACGACTGCCATTCCAGAGGAGACCAACATGTCCACTCAATGGTAGTTATTCAACCACTCGGGCACCTTGTGCTCCACCTCTTCCTATTGCTTCAGTGGAGGAAACAGCTTTGATCTTTTGTTCAGCCGAGGGGAGAGAAAAGTGGGCTTCCCATTTTCCAATTTCTACCTGCCAAGTTGCGCCACATCCACAGTCTGCTGGCCAGTCAATTTGCCAATCATAGCACATAGTGTCGTGGGGGAAGAGCGGCGCGTTTGTGTGTATGTGAGTGCGTCATACAAGGCCAGGACGGCACACCGGCTTTGTATATTTACTGCGACAACACATGTAGAGCGCTAACAAAGGAGCTTTTCAAGTTGCCTGTTGATGCCAAAGATAAAGAGACAAAAAACATCCCTGTGTGCAGATATGTGATCGACTGTGTATTTGTGTGTATCCACTGGAGCATGTGCACCTTTTTCTTATTCACAGTGTGTGTGTTTTCTGTATGTGTGTGCATGCATAAGTGAAAGGAAGTAACTTCAGTGTCTATGATTCCAGGTGAACCAGAGGAAAACATTTTCTCTTGAGGAGAGCGCATTTGCCATCCAGCCCACTTTTATGGAAGCAGAATAGGAAGTGTGACAAAAAAGCACTCATGTAAAATAACTGCAAATTGCATGAAAGCCCCGGCTACTGAAAGGCTTTTGAACGGATGCAAAATTAAAATATTGAGAGGGATTTCAGTGCAAGTGCAAACATATCCATCTCACTGCATTTACAGTGTATATGTTTGTTTGAGTACGTGAGGAAACCTGTCACGCTAATTCGGCACAAATGGGGAAAATGTCACAACCAAGACAGACGAAGCAAACAACAATTTTCAACTTTACCTCGGGACTTCATGCCGATGAAACGGTTCTCTACGATGTCAATCCGACCCACTCCGTGCTTTCCTCTAAGAGACAGAGACAGGTTCACTGGACACGCTTATACATTAATTTAACACTTTATTAGTTTAACCAACAACAGGAGGCGTCAACATTAAGAGCTCTATTGTTGTGGCAGCTCAACAACCAGCAGTCTGATCATTTCCTGACTTTCTAATACACTCTGCGTATCTGTGTGGTATTTTGGTGCCCAGTGAGGAACACTCAGCACACAGGTGGGAGGGGAGGGACGGACAGGTGAGAGTTCATTTAAATGGGGCAGCACAAAGCGACTTGTTGGTGGAAAATATTTGATAGACTTTGAATAGATGTCCAGGAACCTCATCTGTTTCTTGGACAATGTTACTCTGCTGTTACTCAGGTGACAATAGGATAATGCTTAAAATGTAAAGAAACTATTTTAGATATACATACATTAAATAGATGTGACTAAATCAGCATAAACATGTACCTCTATTGTGCTCATATCAAAATGCCAGCAGTGTCAGATTGCACTGATGTACAAATCACTATAAATGATTCTTACAGAACCTGCTGCTCGCGGTTACTTCATTCTGCATAAAAAGCTTCTCCTTTAGTTCATAAAAGCCCTGCAGCCTGCTCAAGGCAGTCGTTGATGTTGACATATGTTCATAAATCTGCAGCCTTTCCTGAGAATAGAGCGCAGTGCCATTACACAGGATATTTCACCGTGTTTACCTTAATAAATGACACGTACATGACAGCAGGCTGCTGTAAAGGTACCCCATTTAATGCTACACGCATCAAACTGATGCTTAATTCTGACCTGGTGTCAATCCTGTGTGTGTGTCAACGCCTCCTTTATAGCAAAACACTTTATTCTTCAAATGCATTAGAGTGCGAAAGCCGCCGTGACATATTTCATTGTGTGATGTGACCGCTTATGAAGTGAGATACAGTCGAAATGAAGCTGAAAAAACTTGGATTAAGGCAGATCAACCATACCTTTATCTAGATGTATGCATCAGTGTTTTGTAGTTTATTTCAAATATTGTACAAGATAAACAGAAACACACATGATGTAGCTCTGGTTACAGATTTTCAAGTGTGTGCTGCGATGCACCATTCAGACGACAAATTAAATTTCCTAGAGAAGCCTCTTTCCATCTGCTGTGCGGTTGTTTTCATGCATCACTGTGATTAGCATAGTTTTGCTGCACAATAAGACTGGCTGGGAGTGAATTTATTACACACAAAACAATATTAAAATACCCAAATAGTGACGAATACTTTTCATTAATAAAGTTTTCTGTAGAATCTCCAACAAACAAGCTCTTTCATTATTTATTTTCCCTTTATTGGAAAAGAAAAGCAGAAAAACGGTTTCAGATTTCCCTAACAATTTACTCAATGCATAGTTTGTGTCATTTCACGACAAATTACGCATGTTGTAAAGAAGCAGCACTGACTGAAACAAAATGCTCAACATCATGCTCAAAACTAAAAAGCGGTCGAGGAAAATAGATTCTTCTGTGGTATCGGCAGGTTCACCTTTAGGACTTTTCATTTATTTTGACAGTTGGAAAGCAGAGAGGGAAGCAAGAGTGGAGGACGACACAGGAGTAAAAAACTGGCGGTATGCGATCCCTGGCCAACAGCGACAAACACTCATCATTCCAGAGGTGGTGAACTTAACCACTGCTCTACCTCTGGGGACACTTACACACTGATTCTGATAGAAAGACTTACTTTCACTGGATTTATCACATCTAACAAGACACATGTGTAAGGTGCCTTTTTTTGAAATAAAGAGAAAAATGCTTACCCAATCTCATTGAGGTATGAGAAGATATCCAGTGCAGAGTCTTTGGATTTGCCTTCCTTCACATTGATCACCTTCACAGGCACTCCTAAAGGAATAAAGTGCTGATTAATAAATCCATGTCCACCAACATTATAACACAATAAGTGGTAATTCATATGACTTATAATGTATTTGGTAAAATCTAATTGCAATAAAATAAAGCAACGTCACAATCTACTTTGCATTTTTATGTTTGAGATTCAAAAAACTAAACAGCAACATTCTCTTTTCACAAGAGAGGCATGCTAACCATTTTTGAAATTAACTAAAATAATTTTTACAACAACATTTGAATTTCCCTTCTGGGATGAATAAAGTATTTTTCATTTCATTCATTTCATTTCATGAGGAAAGCCGAAAGCAAATGAAGTGAATTCAATCACTCTTCATCTTCTCTACTTGTCCTAAAACCTATTACAGCGAAAAGTGACGGGTGATTTTTACCAAGATCAGAGAAATAATCAACACATAGCACACAAAACAAACACTATAAGAATGTAATTTTTGTGCGGCCTAGTTAATCAATAACAACAAACAACTACAAAAACTAACAAAAAGATTCATTTCAACTGATTGAACTGGCGACAAAAACAGCAAAGAGTTGATCAAATCTGCTGACAAGCGCTCATTATCTTAGTCAGTCAAATCAATAGTCGTCAACTAAAAGTGAAAACCTCCACAAAAGGAGATGGTGAGAAGGGCTAATAAATTCAAAGGCTCTGCTGATTTGAAAGCTGTGAAATCGTGGGCAGGCCTTTACCTAATTCAATTACACACGCAGCTTTGTTACCCAAACTCTCTTTAACGCTTAGATTTCTTTTTTTTTTTTTGTTGCGCCACTCAGTGCTTGTGTGTTCATGCGCATGTGCAGGAGACAAAACCACCTGCAGATCCATCACCGCCCGGCTTCCTACCGTCTATCTTTAACATACGGAGAATTTCTCTTTAAAAAGACACCCACGCTCGCTCCGCACGCTTCCTCCGCCGAGCCACTTAAACCAAGTGCACATCAATCACTGTCACAGACCTGCTTATTCATGGCCTTCAATGAGGAACACGGGCCAAAGGTGGAGGCGAGGAAACAAACAGAGACACGGGTGAAAAGGAGCGCGAGCGAGAAGGGAATATAACCTTTCTAAAAGACTACACAAGAAGGAAATGAGAAGAAATCTGCTGCACTCTCCGTCCCCTCCAGTGTCGAGCTCTACACACACTTAAGCATGCTTGCAGTTGTCAGTCAAGCAGCTTTGAAGAGAAGAGCAGCACTTCTGGTCGCCTTTCAGCCAGCATTTACAAAGCCTTAATAGGAATGACATGTGAGGGACTTGACAAATTTTTTTAGACAAGGGCTTTGTTGACGCTCCATTCTCATATCGCGGGAATCACGGCGGCTCCCATGGAAAAAAAAAAAAGTACCTCCCAGAGCAGGAGAGGGCAGTATGGATGGTGCATTCTTAAAACCGCGCCCCCTCCCAGATATCTAATAATTAGATTAAAAGTTCAAATAAATTAACTGAGTGTCTGAACGTGGGAGTGTAGGGGCTGGCCTTTCGTCCCTGCGCTCTCTTTCTCCTCGCTCTCTCCGTGTTGCGGGTTCCATCATTCACTAAAGGGCTCTTTTTCTACTCATGATCCTTTTCTTCAGTTTTTTGCACCCTAACAGTGCAGACAATGGGAGCGCAGACACAGTTGTAGGAAAAATTACTGCTTTACATTTTTCCTCTCTGTCTCTTTTTCCTCCTCACTTCTTTGGCATGAAAGGAGGGAGGGATGATTTTTTTTTTTTTTCCTTAAAAAAAAAAAAAAAAGAAAAAGGGAGAGGAATGGGGAATGGAGCGTTTGACGGGGGAAAAGGTTCCTGTCGTTAAATATTCTTTTTTAATCAGTGAGAAAACTTTGGTGAGAAAGGCAGGGATGAAAAGGTGGGAGGGGGAATGAAATGAAACATTCTTGTGCTGATCTTGTGCTCAGAGGGAGGAGTAGGCTTGGGCCTTTGTGTGGACAACTAAAACAGCTTTTGTCATAGGGCGCTCAATAAAGGCACTGAGAATATGTGTGAAAATGGAGCGCAGGGCCGCAAAGAACCCGCGAAACCAGACTGGGCTTTACTAGTGCATCACTGTTTTTACAAAAGCACATCTCATCCCCTGACACCAACCAACTTGTTTCACAGTTAAACATTTCTTTGGGAAACTGGTAAAGTGAGATCTGTTTTGTTGCACATCTTTACTGACGAGTAAATGCCATTTTAATTTGCACTTTTTAAAAAAAAAAGCACTTTTGGCATCTTTAGTGACTGCAAGTATTCCCACCAAGTCTTCTGAACTCCCCTTAAATTACATTTACAGCCCATAAAGCTCAGAGAATCCAGTGTCTCTGATCTGATTGATGTTCTTGTACTTGAGCCTCCACCAGTGACCGGTTCTGAAGGGACATCTGTGCCATTTGCCTCAGGCCTGGATGTTTCTTGCCATTTTCTCTTTGCACAAACATGTGACACTTTCTACTATTCAGTCTGGCCATCGTGGCAATATATCTAATGAGCGTTCCTCTGGCCCCTCGGGGCTCGGTGTATTAGCTGGAGTTAATGCTTCCGGCCTGTGCGTTTGCCCCCGGGCCAAACATGGCAGCTTTGGACCAAGTAATGCTGTGATGGGGTTTAGGATAAATCTGGGTGGTCAGAAGCGGTGATAAAGTGCAGCCGGGTCAGCCTCAGAGCTGTAGCCCTGCGGCTATAACCCTCACTGTTAAGTAATAGGAAGGACTGGAGTGGGCAGTGAGTAAAGATGGACAACAACACTCACTGATGAATTATACAAGCTCAGAACTGATATCACATGAGTGTATATGCAACAAAATGCAATTTGATGAATGAAATTTCTGTTTAAGCCCTAAAATCTTGAGACAAGTTGGAGGCGACCAAACAGCTGAATACAACAACAACAACAAAGGTATAAATGTCATCAGCAGTGAGGCCTCATATCGATTCCTGGTCAACTAAACCTGTCATTCCTTTGCTCTTTTTTCTCACATTTCCTACTGATCTACACTAGGATTTATGAATCAAAGCAAAAAATAAAAAAACGTATATATATCTTGACATGATTGAAGCTTAAATGCAAAAGATTTACAAATTTCAACAAAATCCATTTCAAATAATTCACATTTCAAGTGGAAATGAATTGCTGATTATTGAATCTGTTGTATATCATGTGCACATAATGAAATTTGACAGATTAAAAAAAAAAAAATCTAATGTGTAACGTCAAATGAATGTCAATTCTAAAACTACATGGCAAGTATTTTAAAAATTTTTTGATAACTTACATGTTTTTACATCTATATCAATCATTAGGCTTTAGAAGTTGTGAGCTTAAAGACAAACACTGAATCAGAAAGGAATCAGGAAGCAACACATGACGCTACACGGCACACGAACCGTTTTTGAACTCTATCTCCAGCACGTCCGGTTCGTTGGGAGAATCTTCTGGATTCTTGGTCATCAGGTACAGGTCAGCAGGGGCATGGCTCTGCAAGACACACAAAAATCACACACTCACTGTCGCTATTTTGAACACTTTATTCCCCCTCCATGAATAACTACGACCTTCTGAGACCTCATCAAAGAAAGGAAAAGTGGGGACTATTGTGTGAGGTGATAACGGACAGCTCCAGACGTGGCTGGCAGAAGAACGGAGAGAATGATGCGTGAAAAAGAAAGAAACCTGAAAACAACATCAGGAGTTGAGTGAAGACAAAAAAAAGAAAAGAAAAAAAATCAATGTTCCATTTTTCTCCTCTATTTGGTTTCATTTTCTCCGTGTGGCCCTTCACCGCAGGGGAAGGCGGCGAAAAGCAGGACGCAGTGAGAAAGAGAGGAAAAGGGCAAAAGAAAGAAATGACTCACATCCCGGAGAATGGTGAACACTTGACAAGTCAAAAAAAAAACAAAAAAACACCTAAGATACCAAGACAGAACCTATTTGAGCAACAGTAAGTCCTCAATAATATTCTGCCTGTCTGTGAAAATCTCACATCGGCCGACTCCATCAAGTGTCTGCGCTTCTCTGGCTGGATTCTTATTTTCCAGTTTTCCAGCTTTGATTTTCTGACTGACGTTTCCCTTCTGATTTATTTTCAAATGAAGAATTTTCCTAAATGGGCATCGCACAACAAAGCTTTCGAGTCCACACCCTAAATTCGCTAAAGTTGTCCTGAGTGACAGACATTTGTCGTTTTTTTCCAGTTGGCGGGAGCCGGGAGCGATTTCAGTAAGTCATGGTTGGGGACCTAAAAGAGCGTGGCAGTCCTGACGTGTCCGCCCAGCGATGTGCCCCTCCAACAATTACACAGCATTAGGCCAAGACGATGGCCAATGTCTCCTGAGCTGAGGCAAATTGCAGGGGGACTATGCAAAATAACTACTGGGTGCATTTAAATGGAAAGCTTTACCAGACTCTAAATCATCATACAATAACTAATCGGCATCCGCTTGCCGCCTGTCAGTGAGGAGAAAACGAGCAGCGCAATCACTTTCCTTCCTTTTAACTAAACACCAAAATTGACTGGGAAGGCGCCCGACTCCCTCTCCTTTATTTTCTGCCTCAGTGCCCTGAAAGATGCCAAATGAGAGCGAACAGGAGAGGGACAAAATGACTACCCTAAAAAGCCTTTTGATGCTTACTCTTTGAGGTTGGAGGGGGGGGGGGGAGAAGACGGAATGAATTTTTTGGCTGTCTTTTCAACCTTCAAATAAAAACAGAGTGCAGAACATAAGAGCCATTAGCTGAAACAATATTTATAGGTGGCAGGTTGTGAACTTCCAGGAAAACTATAAAACTACTTGCCTTTATAGTTTTTATTTTTACAGATTAGATTGAAATTAAGCTAACTTTCTGAGCTTAAAATAATCATTTTGCTCCCTGTATGAGCATTGAGCGTGCTGTGGCTTAAAGAAAAGGCCCCAATTGTTGATTAAAGACACTTTTTAAACATTTATTTTAAAAAATAAATTGGTAACGCATGCATGCTGCAACAATGGAAGCTCAAAGTTATTGGCTACTGGACACAAAGGGGGGAAAAAGGGAAATGTAAGGGAATAAGGTTGTTTCCAGTGAGCGAGAGATCAATGCATTTCAATTCAAACCCCCTGCAGGTGGACCTGTCCCAAAGCCGTGGCCCTGAAAGAGAGGAAAAGGTAGAGATAGAGAAGGCGGGGGGGCCAGGGCGTATTGGTGGGAAATGGGGCGTGAAGCGCACCATCATGTAGCACAGAGCAGCTCCTTTGGCAGTCTTTGCTTCTGCGATATTGTTGTGCTAAACGTGGCCCATACAGCAAAGAAGGAGGCTGACGCATGAACTTAAAGCAAGTAAATTTCTATCTTTCCACTTATTAGTTGCCTCATTGGTTTTCAATCAAAGCCGGAGGGGCCAAAAGACGTGGAGGTGGCAGAAGGGAGACGGGAGGGGAGGAGGAGGAGGAGGAGGAGGAGAAAGGAGAGTTGAACAGAAGAGGATGGTAAAAACATCTTTGGCGCAGCGGTTTGGAAATGATGCTTAAATCACCACGTTTCAAGTCGTGTCCCTCTCTTTAAAATGCAAACATGGCAAATTGAGCCAAGTATAAAACAATACGCACGTGATGTGATGGAGAGATATTTATATTCTTAACACCCAGGATGTTTTGGTTAATGTTAGACCCTCAGCTGAATTTAATGAGGGCAACGGGCAGTTCTCCATGAAGCTAGAGTTGCGGTGATGCTGAGGTGGACACGGTGAGCACTCGCTAAGTACCACAGGTCAGGCTAATCAGACCCGAGGGCAGCGAGGGCACACGATAAACGCTGACCTCTTTGCTTCAAAGCACACATTCACATGTATACATACACCTACAAGGCCACTTCCTAACCCTACAGGCAGCCTTCCGACCATCCATCTTCTCTAGCAGGCCGTGTGACCAGCAGCAAACAAGTTTTCATTTCCTCTAGGTGAGCAGAGGTTTGCCGTTTCGCTCCTTTAGCCCTGGTCAACGTGAGCAGTGGCCCGTCGGCTCCCTGATCAAAGAACAAAGCGGGCCCGGGGAAACTCACTGACAGAGGCTGTAATTAAGACTGAGGTGATGTTTTAATGACTCAGGACGAGTGTCGGGCTGCCTCAGGGTGGGCTCTGACTGCTCATGTGTGGACGGACAAAGAGCGGAGAGAGTGAGGAAACTGGAGGATGTGGAGGCATCCAACAATTGGCATATTGTTGATCACGTTTAAAGAATGCTACAATAACGGAAATTCTAGATAGTAATAAAAAAAAACGACCAGTTAATGCCAACTAGTGGTTGATCTTAGGACCGAATATGACATTTTACATCACATCTCTACTCCGCATTGTTTTATAGGACAACTTGGGAAACTTAACTGAGCAAGGTTTATTGATTTTATTGTTTTTGTCTAAAGAAAATGATCAAAATCTTGCTATGTTGCAGTTATTAGCCAAAAAGAAGCAGAAATCTGACAAGTATGGCCTTTTCGATGTCTAATATCTTTGAATGAAAAGTATGGAAAGGTTCACAATTTGCATTAACTGCAACCTAAAATTGAACAGAATCTATAAGAGATAAGATAATTATTTCAGTTTATAACAAGCAAAAAGTGAAGGCAGTTATCAGTTGCATGCTAATAGTACTAAATGTAACTGGATAAACATGTCAACAGCTAGCTGAAGTGACCCAGAGTGCATATCTTCACATAGGTTAACGCTCCCAGATGGAAATGAGTAAATAAAAAAGGTCCCCGGGCCATTGTGGTATGGGCTACATGGTCTGGGGTTATCAGGAAGGATATAGTGTTAATCACAGAGTAACCTGAACTCTGCCGACTCTTATCTACAGCAGAACATATGAGCGACCATTTGGACGTTTCCTAATCTGACGGTGTTGAGCAGAGAGGGACCATTGTGTCACAGGTGGGGGGATTCGGGGTGTTTGAATAGTTGAGGTCCGGCCTCAGCCTCCAGGGCTGTAACTGGAGGAGAGAGAGAGGCCGATACACAGAGGAGATACTTAGAACAAGGTGGCTTCTATCAGATGACCTTCGAGCTGGATCAGAATCTGACATGTCAGCTTGAGCATGTGGGGGATAAAATGACTTTGTTGGTTATTTTTGGGGTAAAATTGCATTTGTATTCACTTACTGGTTCAAAAAAAAGCATTTAAATTAGCGTTAAATATAAAAATTCTACTTTGATCTTATTGTTGAGACGTAAACTCTGACCTTCATTAACAAACAAACTTGGAAAAAGTCCAATTGCCAGACGGGTTCAGAAGTTGTGGCTACTGAAAATTACTAAATTATTACAGCTCTTTCAGAGTTCAAAACATCATTTTGTTCCCGGGGTAATGTATTCAAATCCTTTTACCACTTTAGATCTCTGAACCATAAATATTTCATTGTATTTCATGCCATTAATTGATTCAATATTGGAGTAAATGGTCCGACACAAAACCCCCTGAATGAAATCAGTTACACAATACTAACATGATGCATCGCTATGCTATTGAGCTGGTTCATCTCATTCTTTTCAAAACATTTCTCCGCAGGACGACCACTAAAGAGGCAGCGGAGGGGTGGGAAAGGGACAGAGAAAGAGAGTGAGAGATAGAGGTCTGTGAGTTACAGTGGCCCTGCCCCTGCATCTCCACTCCAGCAGCGCGGGACCCCTCGCCTCCATGTGACACCCCGTGCTTTGGGGACTCATCTGTCTGGCGCACTGTCTTTGTACTTTACTGTTACTGGTGACATTTTGGTGTCACGGTGTCATGATGAAATGGCTCCCCTCCCACGTCGCAGCCTGCGGCGGCGCAACCAGTGGAACAATGAGGTCCCGAGGAGTTGGGGCTGGAACTCAGGAGGCCCCAGCTGGGTGCAACGCCCTAACCCTTCCCCCTCCCAGGCTCCCATGAAATCGGGAATTAGTCGAAGCGTTGCTGACGACAAGTCAGTGTCTGTGTGTCCCAGGCTCTTCCCAGGGCCCGGCGAAGACCCGGGGTGAAGAGAGACACAGACACAGACACAGCAACCAAGGGATGGGAGCTGTGGGGGTCACTGGGGGCAACCTGTATGTACCGCCTTGACCTCCGACCCCAGCAGAGATCAAACTCTTGTCTCAGCCGTGGCACTGTGAGAGAGTGAGGCGTGTTGTGTCGGATGGAGCTGGCACGGTCAGCAGAACGGAGAGTGGGCTCGCTGCTGTGTCACTCCGAGTGTGTGATGCATTTAACTGTACAAGAAGTCGAATGTTTGTCTGTTCGCAGCAAACACAGTGTGTGCTTGAGAGGAGATGATTTACTGTAGTCAACTGTATAACACCTTTCCTTATTGGTGGCCGAAGCGAGCCAACTTTGTCAGACATTTTAAGAACAGGTACAGATGTGAAGATGGCATCGACTTCGAGATGTTCATGCGATATGTCATACATATTGAGATGCACTCTCAGATGTACATTTGTTTTTACCTGTACAAACTGTTGTCCCCTGACTAACTTCTATTTTTGACATGTTCTGGAAGAGTGCTGCCAGTAATTAAGCTTATAAATAAATCCCCATGACAACCAGCACCGTCAGTGAACATGTAATTGTACAAAGCAAATTAAGACAAGTGTTTCAGACCAGTAACTTTCTTGGTATTTAACCTGTGCCATTTTATAAAAGGATGACGAAGGGGCAGCATTGACAACCGCTGGAATGATGACACTTTCTTTGATGTGACATTGAAAACTTACCTTGGGATTCTCCAGGATGCCAGACTCGTAGCTGTACAGGAAGATAAATTAGAGAATTACATTGTTTATTTCTGACCGAAAAGACTACGATTCTGAAATTAAAAGTGAAGAAGATGCAGCCGTACCCACCTGATGTGCATGAGATTGGCGTCCATGCTCCAAGGTGCGCGAGGCGTGACGGGCACTGGGATGCCATGTTTCTACAGTTTGACAGAGACAGCGGTTGTTATTTTACACACTTTCAGTTTGAAAGTTAACTGCAACAGGCTTTCACTGAGAGTTATACTTGCCTGCTGAGAAAGTTCTCAATGCAAGAAAGCAGGACAACTATGTCAAGCAGCTGGTTTTTGGCGTGCTGTGTGACCAAAATATGTCTTTTTCTCCACACTGCTTTTGTCTTCATGATTCCGCAAAGAAAATGGTAAAAACAACCAACAAACAAAGACATTTTGGTATGTTTGAGGGAAAAGTTTCCAACTTGGTGTTTTAAGATTGCATGATTTCACAAGTACACCCCAAAACCAGTGAGTGAGAGGTGTTGACTAAATCATGACCACCCTCTAGTGGGAACAACTGGTCAGGACCACCGTCAGATGGGACCATGTGGGAAAAAAAAAAACAACAGACAGCCAGAGAATGTGTGTGTGGTCTGAGTGCTTTAATCGGACACTGGCTGATGTGAGTGTATTAATGAGTGTGAAATTACACTACAAACAGAAAGCAGAGATGTAATATTAAACAGAATTGTATTTCTTTATTATAAACATATAATAAAGATACAAATATTGGTAAAGGGATTCCTGGTTTTGTTGAAAATATGTTGAGGTTTTGTCAAGACATATGGCTAAGTTAGCTGTTTATTGATCCCAAGGGGGAAAATCAGGTGTTTCAGCAGCGCAAAAGTAAGAAAGAATAAAAAATATTTTCAAAAATAAATGAATCTACATCCATTTATGGCTAAATGTAGATACAAAATAAGTACATAAATGCATTCAGTGACTGGGAGAAAGCACTTTAAGTTCTGCAGTATGCCTAATTTTCAGATTGTATACTTAAACAAACTTAAATGTTTATCAGTGACAAATGTGAACATCATCATTCCTTTAAAGGCAGAACTTTTTCCACTGGCAGCTTTAGATAGCAGTGTCTGCTAATATACTGCCCACTGTATGGTGAATCAGCATTTTCAAATAGCTGACAGACTCATCAGAAATTCAAGTAAACAAAATGTCACCTGTGCATATTCCATCAAGTCAGTTCTCCCCCGGAAGCGGTTGTAAAACTCAGGGATCCTCCACGGTGCGATGATCTGAACAACACAAACCACAGAGGAAGAGATTTGTTCTGGCCGCACAAGCATTATTGTACAGTAAGGATGCATAACAATACAAACATCTCCATCGTTATTGGGAAATATGGGCATCAACCTAAAATGACAAATTAACACTGTCAGGCTGAAGTTTTCAGTTTGGTTTGAAAATATTACATAAAAATAAATATTTTACGTTTACACTGGAGTAGTTTTCTTATTTTGCCCAGGAAAAGTGTACATTTGAAATGCATTTCATTTTGTATTTACATTTGCCAGCAGCCATCATGATAAGAGCAGGCACAGCACATAGAAAAACATATTGCATGTGCACATATTTGTATCGTCACCAGCAACTGGCTAAAATAAGTTGGAAAATATCTTTATATCTGATATCGGCAAAAACTGTATAATGTGCATCCCTATTTCACTGCATGCTTTCAAAACAATGAACCAGTAAACTCACCTTGACCTCAGGGTAGAGCGCGTAGCACGTGAGCTCAAAGCGTATCTGGTCATTTCCCTGAAAAGTACAAACAGTTCAGCTCAACATTGAACAATTTAAAATCAGTGACATTAACTGAAAGTACGGACAAGAAGGCTGCAGCGAACAATTATTTTATTTATTCATTTTATATTATCTATATTTACTCAATAAAGGGTCAGAAAACTATGAAAAGCCTCACTTGCTATTTCCAAAAGGTGATATATTGAAATAACCAGTTTTGTGCAACCAAAACATCTCCAAAGCTCTACCAAAGAAAGCTTTATAAAAATGGCTTCAATCGCTTAAAATAGCAGCAGATTACTTGGCTGTCGAACGATTGAGGTAATTCTTGCCAAACTATTCAGCTGTTGCATTTAGTGATGGTTAAGCAGCAATGTTTGCATGTTTTGCTTTACATGCCTGAATGGTTGCTCCTGTTGTTTTTTGTACTCCATCTGTGTTTCTACTACAAACAGCTGGAGGGGAGCTGCATTTTCATTTACAATTCCACTCATAAACAAACTGTCCAAAAAGATGGACAATTAACTTCATGGTGTGGTGTCTGTCTCCATCTACAGGGGAAATATGGACACAGCATCTCAACCAATGAGAAGGCAGTCTCTTTGAAGCGGGAATAAAACTGCATATTAAATTCATTATTTTAAAATATCTGATTATTTTGAATGTAACCACATTGAATGTGAGTGTTTTAATTGAATTGTAAATGCAATGTAGCTAAAGCAGCTATGTGAATGAAGTGACACTGATGTTATGATCCTACACAGAAATATCAGCCAACTCTTCAGCTCCACTCGGCTGAGTTTTATTATGAGTTTCAGCTCCTTGTTGAGCGATGCAGCACACAACTTCATGGTTTTATTTTACGCTCAGGGTCTCACTGCTCACATCACTGCAGCAGACACCAGTTTCCACTGTATATACTTCTCTCAGGAGTTGATGGGAGACCAAAAACAGAGCAAATATTGGACTCACAGTCATCAGATAGACACAAACACAACTCAAAACTAGTGTTCATGTTCCTCTGTTGCAGTGGATGCATAAATACGTGACTGTTTAATATCAAAATAATCTTAAAGGGGGATATGTCACTGCTGTCAGCACAAATTGTTTACAGTATGCCCCAAAAGTCTGTTTATTGTACATTTAAACTATGAGCAATTCGCTTAAATAACAAATCTGATTTCACTGCAGGCAAATCTGATTTGTTTCTAAAACAACATCATCAGGACAGACTGTCAGCACTGCTATCTGCAAGTAATTAGATTGGATTTGTATGTCAGGACATCACCAGCCTATCAACACGGGTTGCTCTGGAAACAACAAAGGCATCAGTGACCACATAGTTGCCTTCCATTGAAGCAGACAATGTATTTTGGCGTCTGTCCACAGACTGTTGTTTTCATGTTGTCTTCCACAGCGATATGACAGCAGCAGCACGGACTCTGCTTAGAACTTGCACCTGTGTGTTGAATCGCACTGCGGGTGTCGTAAAACACACTGAAATCCAATTAAAGCATCCAGAACATCTGGACTGAGACACATCTGTGGAGCTCTGATTGGAATTCCATCATCACCTCCACGTGTTGTGTGGATCAGATTTGCAACAAAAAAAATAAATAAATCACATTTTATCTGTTTTTGTGCTGTCCAGATTTTTAAAAAATAAATCTGGATACAATCTGAATTCACAAAAAAAGAAGAAAGGACTTGGGCTCTTAGTCCAAACAAGGTCTGAAAGCTGAGGTAGGAAGTATGTTTTTGGCATCATTGGGCAGAAATTTCACTAACTTTTAAATATATTGTGATTCAAGTGATCTAAGAGGAAACTAGACCTCTGCACCTTCTCTTGGCTATGTTTTAGCCAATCAAAGATGTTTTGCACCTAAGAGGAACAAAATGTGCAGTGAGAGTAGGACATAGTGGACAAATGGGTCACTTTTTGTTTCACTGTAGCACACATGAAAACATCAGCGGAACGTTCTTAACAAGAACAGCTTGACTCACTGTCCAAGAACACAAAAAAATTAAACACAATGTCGAATGTTTGCACCATAGATGCAGCAAAGTATGTCAGAGCAGGTCACAGTCTGAGGGACAACCTGCTCAACCACACATGACGGCTGTAGTCAGTCTCCTCACAGCTCACTCTGCCTTTCTAGTTCATGTATAACAGGGGTCTCGAACTCCGGTCCTCGAGGGCCGCAATCCTGCAAGTTTTAGATGTTTCCTTCTTCCAGCACACCTGATTCACATGATCAGGAACGTTATCAGGCTTCTGCAGAGCTGATCATTTGAATCAGGTGTGTTGGAAGAAGGAAACATCTAAAACTTGCAGGATTGCGGCCCTCGAGGACTGGAGTTTGAGATCCCTGATGTATAAGGTAATTTAACCCCCGTTTTTTTTCCCCTTGATAAATAATACTTTGCTCAGGAATAAACAAATAAATGTCATATTGTCCTTGATACTTTAAGAATATTGATTCCTGGTGAATCTAATTCATGTGCTCATCTGGCAGGAGGCATTACATTTTGTTGCATAGACACATGCAACAACAATAAAGGCATGTAATGAAACGGCAATGTGAGCCTACAGGACAAAAAAAACATCACGAGAGTTTGTGTCGTATTCAGGCAGTTAATTTTTCACTTATGCCCACTCATGCTCATCAGACAGGCATCCGGCAGGGTGTCAAAGTGCAAAAGCACATTTAAATTTTAATCTGAGGTGCAGGGATTCATTTGATTTAGCTGCTGATTCATGCAGTGTCACGAAATCTTGACACGACAGGAAACTTTTTTAAATTGAATTGATGACTGAATAGAAGAAAATTACAGCTTTTCAAGAGTTGCTTTTTTTTTTTTCTTTAAATCTCCTGTTAAAGTTTGATTTAGGAAAGTTAATATTCAAACACGTGGCCTAAATTCGAGAGTTTGACTAGTGACCTAGTTTACTAGTTTGTGTTTAGAAAAGGCAGATCAGGATTTCCAAGTGGATCAGTCACAGGGCTTAGAATGTCTAGGGCTTCAGTTTTATGTCACATCCCTGACCTCTGGGTTTCTGTCCCAGCTTTAGAATAAAGAAAAATGTCAACAATTTCATTTCATAGGTGCTGGGATTCAGTGACATTAGCAGATTTTTGACATTGTTTTCCCACTGGGTGTCCTCCTGTCTTTTATCTGATTTACCTTTCCAGTGGCGCCATGCGACACAAACTGAGCACCCTCCCTGCGGGCGATCTCCACCTGACGGCGGGCGATGCAGGGCCGCGCTACCGCCGTGCCCAGCAGGTACCGGTCCTCATAGACAGCGTTGGCCTGAACCGCAGGCCAGATGAAGTCCTCCACAAACTGTGAGCGCAGGTCTTCAATGAAAACCTGCAAAAGGAACAAGAAGAGGGCTTTGTGTTCCACATTTGATTCATTTCATCCCTGTGAGAAATAGTTTTTGATTTCCAATATATTTCCCTTCTAGAAAAAAAGACATAACTGTTCACCACAAAAGGGCTTTGTGAGATGAATAAAGGGAACATTTCTCACTCAAGAGAAAACAGAAAAAAAAAAAAAGACTATTGACTTTGGTTCATTACTGTATGCTATGACACTGGAAATTTGCTTTCGGGCAGAGTTCTATCATCATTATGCCACAGCAATGGAGAACACTAATGTATGAGTGTATCCAGCTGCTCGGGGGAAGCTCTGACATCCAACATTTGACAGTCAGCTGGCAGAAAGCACCACATTCATGAGCTGTGATTCTGGGAAATCAAACCCTGAACACAAATCAAGGGCAAATATGAATATAGATATGAATTTTAAAGCATTTTAGTGCAATGTCTCATCCAAAGCAACAGCACATTTCATCGTCTCTCACCTTCTTGGCACCGAGGCTTTCTGCCTTTTTCTGAGCTGCTTCAAAATCTTCATCTTGTCCGATGTTGGCCTGGATAGACAGAGGTCCAACGTAAAATTTACAACAGACATCAACATGATGAAAAACCAACACTAGGCTTGCTGACTTCTGTGAGAATAAATGCATCAACACACAGGCACATGCCAGCGCAAGAGTTAATTCAGAAAATCCACCATCTTGTCATTCAGATCACGTCTGTGCAGGAGATGTAAGAACCTCGTCACAGCTCAAATCAAGCACGAGCACCACTTCAGGGCATGGAGAGGCTGTCTGATCTCCTGAGCCGAGCAGGGGAACATTTTTTCGAAAAAATTGATCTAGTAAACACGACTGGCATATCTGCAGCGCAAATACTGAAGAATGCCTCTGGTGTTTTGGCAGATGACTATTATAATCTCTGTATTTTTTCTGATCATACATTTACAGTAGATTGTGGAAAAGTCATATTGTTATGTAACCCACTGCACTGATGCCCTTGAACACCTAACAGTGGAAACACTGCTAAATATTATTCCCCACACATATCAGCACACTACTGATTGCCTTTTTGGTGCCGTGTACTCTTTCTTATTTTGGAATTTCATGAACCATTGCATTGGATCAGAGCAAAAACCAAAATAGATTTGGAGGACTGCACCTCTTGCGCCATAGCAGTGAACTCTAGACCATCACCCATCCCCCCACACTGACCCACAAAACCACTGAATGAAGTTGAACAAGAAAATCTGCCTGCTGTGCACTTCTGACTGGCCCCGGGGTAAAAAGTAAATCCAGGCAGATTTGCGCTGGCATTATGAAGCCAAATCCCACGGTTGCCAGACAACCAGTACTGTTGCTCTGACAGGTTTTTATAGGGGCAGACGACTCGCACATGACAAGCAACAACAAGTTCACCCCAACAAACGTGCTTAAGCAGCCGGTTCAGACAAGTGAAAGCCACCTGTCGAGCTGCTGCGAGCACACTTGTCCTGCAACCTCACCAAGTATGTGATGACGTCGTAGCCCTGCTCCTTGAGCCACACCAGGATACAGGACGTGTCCAGTCCGCCGCTGTAGGCCAGAACCACCGTACCTTTAGACATGATGCGGGCTTTCTCAGCAGACGGGGAAGCTGTGAAGAGGCACAGAGTCAGTTACATCACCTGGAGAGGAAATGCCAATATATAACCCCACTTTATTTGTAATATCAAATCGACTTGGGCCAGAAAAAACTGCTTCTTTGACCTAAAAGCAGGTGCTGGAATGAAATTTATTGGCACTTTTTGATAATCTATTGACTGTTTGAGTGATGCACAGTGGATTAACTTCACTCAAGTTCACTTATTTGAGCTACTTCAGTATTAAACAGACAAAACAAACAACTGAAGGATGCATAGTTTAACCAATAAGGCAAATGCAAGCAAAATAGATGCAATTTTATAGCTCCAGAAAGAGCTTCACATCTCATTCCTCACTTTATTTCCTCTTTAGACGCCACCTGTGTTCAATTATCCAACTTTTTCCATCCCAGCACACATTCTAACAGCACCCCACTGTCATCTCAATTAATTTGCCAGCTCATTTTCGTTCATTCTTGGCAACAACAAGCTCGTCATTGTTTCCTCCAGCTGGAAGTAAAAGTCAGAAGGTGCGAGCATGAGGATGAAGGAGGATGATGACATCTCCACGGGCGTTTTCTTCACATCCCTCCAAACCACCAGCCTGTTGCAGAGAAATGTGCTCCCTCACCGTCTCACACTCACAGGGAACGAACAAAAAAACGACTTAAATTCACTTTAAAGCAACACTAAAGCCTCTTTGGCGGCACAGTGGTAACAGATAATGATGTTTGACTGGAGCAGCGTGAACGTACAAACCTTTAGCTTCCTCCGGTAGCGCCTTGAACCTGAGCTAACGTAAGCTAGCACAATTTGTGCTAATTAACGACAACAACACACAAACACTGTCGGGTTTTTTTTTCTAAATTAACTTAGCTTTTTTAACGTATTTTCCGACTACAAATACCACCTGGAGGTTTAATTAAACCGACAAACTAACGCTGTAACTGCGGGATTTTTTTTTTAAAACCTAAAATATAAGGACATTAAAGCAAGTTGTACTCACAGAAGAGAGGTTTCCTGTTAAATAACCGGATAGAAAGCTGCTGTCCTTCGCTGAGGGATGAATGAAGCAGCAGCAGCAGTGTGTCTTATACCGCTGTGTGAGTCGTCTGCTCTGGTCCTCCTCACGTTGCGTCACCGTCAACACGCTGAACCGCCTGTTGCTGCTTCATTCATTTAAAACAGGGGTGTCCAATCCTGACACATCTAAAAAACATCTAAAACATGCAGGATTGTGGCCCTCGAGGACCAGGATTGGACACCCCTGATTTAAAAGAAACCATGAAAAACACGGGCAACGCCACCACAGCACTATAAGGCAGGTTTAATAGTGACAGAGGTATTTATTTTATTTTATTAGAAGTAATAATAATCACACCAAATATGCCAATTGTGTAACTGAAAGGCTGGAAATTCTGTTCATAGCTTTTCACTGGAAGAAGAAGATGATAAACAAAAAATAAATGCTAAAATACAGTAAAACAGTATAATTTCATGGTCACATACAAGAATAAATGATTGTTTATAAAAAAAAAATACAGACATCTGATGTGTTTGCCTTTTCACAGCTAACATATAAATTCACTTGTTTTTATATATTTTAGTACATTACAGGTGCTGGTCATATAATTAGGATATCATGAAAAAGTGTATTTATTTCAGTAATTCCATTCAAAAAGTAAAACTTGTATATTGTATTCATTCATTACACACAGATTGATGTATTTCAAATGTTTATTTCTCTTCATTTTGATGATTATACCTGAATACTAATGAAAATCCCAAATTCACTACACCACAAAATTAGAATATTGTGGAAAGGTTCAATATTGACGACACCTGGTGCCACGCTCTAATCAGCTAATTAACTAAAAACACCTGCAAAGGCCTTTAAATGGTCCCTCAGTCTAGTTCTGTAGGCTGCACAATCATGGGGAAGACTGCTGACCTGACAGTTGTCCAAAAGACAACCATTGACACCTTGCACAAGGAGGGCAAGAGACAAAAGATCATTGCAAAAGAGGCTGGCTGTTCACAGAGCTCTGTGTCCAAGCACATCAATAGAGAGGCGAAGGGAAGGAAAAGATGTGGTAGAAAAAAGTGTACAAGCAATAGGGATAACCGCACCCTGGAGAGGATTGTGAAACGAAACCCATTCAAAAATGTGGGGGAGATTCACATAGAGTGGACTGCAGCTGGAGTCAGTGCTTCAAGAACCACCACGCACAGACATATGCAAGACGTGGGTTTCAGCTGTCGCATTCCTTGTGTCAAGCCACTCTTGAACAAGAGACAACGTCAGAAGCGTCTTGCCTGGGCTAAAGACCATAAGGACTGGACTGCTGCTGAGTGATCCAAAGTTACGTTCTCTGATGAAAGTAAATTTTGCATGTCCTTTGGAAATCAAGGTCCCAGAGTCTGGAGGAAGAGAGGAGAGGCACAGAATCCATGTTGCTTGAGGTTGAGTGTAAAGTTTCCACAGTCAGTGATGGTTTGGGGTGCCATGTCATCTGCTGGTGTTGGTCCACTGTGTTTTTCTTAGGTTCAAGGTCAACGCAGCTGTCTACCAGGAAGTTTTAGAGTACTTCATGCTTCCTGCTGCTGACTAACTTTATGGAGATGCAGATTTTATTTTCCAACAGGACTTGGCACCTGCACACAGTGCCAAAGCTACCAGTACCTGGTTTAAGGACCATGGTATCCCTGTTCTTAATTGGCCAGCAAACTCGCCTGACCTTAACCCCATAGAAAATCTATGAGGTATTGTGAAGAGGAAGATGCCATACGCCAGACCCAACAATGCAGAAGAGCTGAAGGCCACTATCAGAGCAACTTGGGCTCTCATGACACCTGACCAGCGCCACAGAAGGAGCCCCAACTAAGTATTGAGTGCTGTACATGCTCATATTTTTCATGTTCATACTTTTCAGTTGGCCAGCATATCAAGAAATTCTTTTTGTATCGATCATAAGTAATGTTCTAATTTTCTAGTGAAGTAAATTTGGGATTTTCATTAGTATTCAGGTATAATCATCAAAATTAAGAGAAATAAACATTTGAAATATATCAGTCTGTGTGTAATGAATGAATATAATATACACATTTCCCTTTTTGAATGGAATTACTGAAATAAATAAACTTTTTCATGATATTCTAATTATATGACCAGCACCTGTAATGTACTGTAAAATACTGTAATTTACTCCCCAAAAAATCTGCAAAATAACAGTTTAAAATTATTTATTTTGTCCATAGCTTATAACTAAAAGAAGTAATAATAATAATAATAATAATAATAATAATAACAAAGAAAAAAGGCAGTAAAGGTGCCAGATATGAAAACTGTTAAAAACTGTAAAATTCCATTACTTTTTTCCCCCTTTTTCCCCCCCTGTGATTTTAATGCATAATATCTGTAATATACCAAAAAAAGAAAATCTGTTAAATAACAGTTGGAAATTATTTACCATTTTCCAGTCCTTTATTTATAGATGTTTACGTCTCAGCGTTTTACCATTTTGAACAAGAATGAGGAATTTCTAACTGAATTCACCTTTTTATACCCAAACTTGAGCCTCTGAGCTCACTGGGCTTCTCTGAGAAGTCAGAAATGAATCAAGCACAACATTCAACCACTAAAATCTTTTTTTTTTTTTTTTTTCTGTTCAGGGATGCAAATAAATAACTATAATCTGACATCTTAATCAAGAAATAATAATGTGCTTTACTATTTCTCCCCCCCCCCATTTCATTTATATTTAAGCAGTGAATTTGAAAATTCCTGGACAACAGTAATCATTTTTTAGCATAAAAAACATAATTTTGGTTAAAGAGCTTCTACATACTGGTGTATTAACCATTATAGAAATGTAGGAAATGATTTTGGTAATTACCAATGCTGTTAATTTAGGGCAGCCCCATGTATATGGCACATAAAGATTAAAATCTGTGAAATAATTATTTAATTTAATAATTTAATGGTCACACATCAGAAAAAACAAATCCCTATTTTAAAAAATACATAATTTAATGTGATCATTATGTACAGTTTTGTGGATCTCATCCCTGCTCTAGAGATGAAGATCTGGCTGCCTGGTCTTCTGATAGAGTGAACGCAATAGACTTCACAACCTCGGCATCCTCTGGTCGCTCTGAAAAACTGCTGCAGAGGATTCACTCATGTTTGCTACTGCTGGCAATCATAGTAGTTAATGACTAATTAACTTAATAGCTAACAGCTAGTCAATAAATCATTACATCATAAGCATCCATCCACACATCCAATCAGATTTCTTTGAAACACTTTGTTTACATCACTGCAATATTTTCTCAAAATCCGTTTTTTTCCTTGTACAAGCGACTAATCAGAACAGTTCAGCTGTTTATTAAGGTTCACCTTTTAGAAAGTTCAGTTTATTATTTCAGGAGAACACAAAACTTTTCCATTTGATGCAATGATGCTGCATTTTGTTTCCTGTTTGCATCATGCAGTTTAATCGTACATAGCCACAATATTATACAATGCAGATTTATCTATCCATCCACTATCTATACACTGCTTAATCCTCACTAGGGTCACGGGGGGCTGGAGTCTATCCCAGCTGACTTAGGGTGAAGGCAGGAGATACCCTGGACAGGTCACCAGTCTATCACAGAAAGACAACCAAGCACACTCACATTCACACCTACGGACAATTTAGAATCACCAATTAACCTCAACATGTTTTCGGACTGTGTGGGAGGAAGCCGGAGAACCCGGAGAGAACCCACGCTGCACGGGGAGAACATGCAAACTGAAGAAAGATCCCAGGTGTCCCCACTGGAACGCAAACCGGCGACCTTCTTGCTGCGAGGCAATGATAGTTCCCAGGCGTCCTAAACATGTCATCACAATGTGTCCTAAAAATGATGAAATGCTCAGTTGCAGCAAACTTTTACCATTTTAGTCCATTAGAGGTCAGCATTTGCTCAAAGTCTCCAACATGACCACAAACTGGAGGCTGGATGATGCCAACATCTGGCCAATATAACACCTGCTGTTACTCACACATTTTTATTCTCGTGCTCTTTTCCTTTAGTGTAGCAAAATCAATTTACTGCCATTTTATAAGCAGCGGTGACATTCAACGGATCCTCATAAACTCTATACTTCATCTTCATTGTTGACTTCGCTGGTGGAGGATTGACATTCACTTGCTTCGCTGCTCCACCGTCGTCCTTCAGCTTCTGAGAACACGACGGTTAAAAAGTTGGACTGAGTCGGTCACTTCATATTTTTGAATATTTATTTCTTCGCCATGAACTTCCAAAATCAAAAAAACAAATGATCAAAAATACAATATAAACTTCTGAAAATCAATACACTGAATATCTTTCTCTTTTTTTTCCTTTTTTTTGTTTTTTTTTTTAGCTTTTCTTACACAGGGCAAAAAACACTGAGCAAAGACAAAGTCCAGGCGGCTAGTGACTCTGCTTAGTCCTCTTTGCTTTTCTAGATCGCAGAATATGGTGTTTCACAAACGCTGAGTCTCCCCCCCCTCCCCCTGCCCCTTATTATCCCCGATCATATACAGTTCACTAGTTAGGCATTTGCCAAAGACGTACAGTACAAAGTGCCCAATAACAAGTCCTGGAGCTAATAACTGTGTTGAAATTTTCAATCAAGCACGACTGCAATCCACCACTTAGTATACAATGTACACGTCCCAACCCCGAGTCGACTCCCCACGAACTAGAGTTGTCAGTCAGTTGAAGGTGTACCGATGTACGAGAGGCTAGGGTGCTGGTGGAGGAAGAAAAAAAAACAAAAAACAAAAAAGAGGGGAGATGAAACCTGGAGAGTCGAGGCGAGTTGTTGTCAAATCAGTGCCCAAAGTCTCAGGGCTGACGTTCCATGATCCGCTGGTCGCAAAAAGATCCACGGAGAACCCAAACCGCTGAGCTCCATCCAATTTGCCAGTTTCATTCAAAAAAAAAAATATCAATCTATGATCATGAATGGCATAACACCCATAAAATACAATGAATTATTTTCATTTATCTTCTGCACACAGACCAAATAAATTCTTTTCTTTCACTTATCATCCCTTAATTGTTTTCTTTGCACTTTGAAACACATGGGCACACAAGAAATGTTCTGAAAAAAAAAATCTGCTATTACTGTGTTCAACTTGGAGAGAAAAAAAAAAACAGCAGTTGGGTGAAAAACAGAAACAAACTGTCCATTGATGGCTGAGATGGTGTCTCTGGATTTGGCCAGATAAAAAAATAAAGAAAAAACAACCTGTGTACACTGGTGGAACTGGAGGAGAGGGAGGGTCTTTGTGTCCCGGTTGGTGGGGTGGGGGGAAGTTAGTGGTGCTGTGCAATCCTCTCACCTTGACCCCCCTTTTTTGCCTACCACTCTTTCTTCTTCTCATCCATGGACACTCCGCCGGGCCCGAGCGCCACCACCAGGAGCAGGCCGCCGATGACCGAGGTGGTCTGGAAGAAGTCGTACTTGAGGAAGTCGTGCATGGGTTTGTAGGCGGGGATGGTCCAGAAAGCGTTGAAGTAGACGTTGATGGCCAGAAGCCACACGACGAGGGTCAGCGCCGCCAGCTTGGTCTTGAAGCCGATGGCCACCAGGATGATGAGAGCGGTCCCCACCATGTTCTGCAGGATCTGTGGGGAAAAAGGCACAGTGAAAGGGTGGATGATGGCAGTTTGTGATTTAAAATGATCAAGAATAATTAACAAAATATACACAATATAATCTAGTGAAAGATCAATCAGTGGATCCCAGTATTTCATAAAGACTAAGCCTCTTGTGTACATTATAAAAATAGAAAACGAGTGGAGTGCTTCATAATTCACAACAAGACTTTGAGGCAGTTGTTCAGGATGTTTAGGTCAGATAACAACTAGGGGTGGGACTTTAACACTTTAACACATTCATTAACGCAAAAATAACGAGATAAAGTCCCACCCCTGATATACTTTAAAGCGTTAATTACAAATAATTAATTACAAAAAAAAAAAACACGTTAAAAAAATTAACGCATTTAATCGCAGTTTGCATCCAGACAACACAGAACATTTGTCAGTCCCCAATTTCATGGTCCACTGATCACAGTGATGCACAAGATGCGTCAGCGCTACGCTAACAACAACAAACATGGAGGAATCCGATGAGAGTGCATTGCTTGGACTGATGGAGGGTAAGTTTCATTTTAAAAAGCTGCCTGATGGAAGCCTTGACAGGAGCGTGGTTTTGTGCAACTTGTGCAAAAAAGAATTTGCATCCCACCGAAGCACATCAAGCTCACGGTACCACCTGAATGCGAAGTATGTTGCAGGGAGCACAGAAACCGTTGGAGCTGTTAGTGCTAGCAGTCCTGGATAGCGCCGAATTTTTTTAAACGCGTTATTTTTGTTGCAATTAATTAGTCATAGTTAATGCTTTAAAGTCCCATCCCTAATAACAACAAATCACATTCCTGACTGCCAACCATTTTCAACAACACATACTGGGTTTTAGTTTCCAAAGCCTAATACATTCGGACTGTCATTCAGTTTGAGATCTCTTTGTTTTAAAATATTCTAAATGATTTCCTATTTCACTATTTATATTATCCCTATTTCAGGCAACTACCAGTTTAAGTTTATAATGGCATCGCCTCAAAGTGAACCTTCTATTCTGTTTACAGCCTGAAACTGTCCATTAGATCAACTTACCATTATTTATATAACAATATTAAAATAACTACGACATTAGTCCAAAGTTCAAAATCTATCCATTATGATTTTATTGTTTATAGGTTTATTGTTTATAGGTGCAGGGACTGTACACAATTTAAAGCAATCACACTAGAGTTAGCTAGCAGCAAATCTGCATCTGCCATTCCTGGGCAGGAACACAACAAACAACCTCATAACAGTAAGTCCTCCACATAAAACACCACCAAACCTAAAAGTCCACCAATGAGAGATAATTAACAGAATCAGTACATACAAGAAATTAAAGGCGGTCATTGGCGGTAACAACTTTGCAACGACTTCAGCCAAACCTTGAGGCTGGTTTTAATCTCCACAAAGCTTCCTGAATCTCCAACGTTTTTGAGGATGTAATTTCACTTCCCCATTTTGACCAAAAGCTGTGTTGCTGAACTGGTACCTGGCCACCTCTAGTAATGCTCTAGTCCTGCCTGCATGGCCCCTGCTTGGGTAAATCAGACTTCCTCTGAGAGGAGGAGGTGCAGGATTATGAATAGTTTTAAACATCAGACATACATGGAAAAAATGGCTTTATATCCAATATTAATACTGACTAAGATACCTGACTTTTATTGGGTTTATGTCGATAAACCATTAAAAGTCTCTTGAATAAAAGTAACACACAACTTTACATTGTTTTTCTAATATCCATATTTGCTTGTTTGACTTGTTGATTTCAGAAGGAAAAAATGGTAAAAGCTGTGATGCTTCCTTGAGGCAGACTCAAAAATATAATGAGGTTCCTAAATTATTTTAAACCCAAGTACGAGTGTTAAAGTCCCAGCTTGTCACTATATTACTGTGTTGTTAAACTGACCAACCATAGGCATGTAACTAAATGTTCATTGTGATGGATTACACAATATTATCTACTTTAACATCTCCGCATCTCCACTGTAGTTTTGTACTAAAATAAATAACGGCTACCAGCTGGAGAACTACAGAAAATACTTGAAAGTTATGTTTAGGGTGTTTAATGTGTAGTTCAGTGGCTAAAACACGTAAAAGCACCTATATGGCTCCTGCATATTTAAAAACATCTTCTATCCAGAGCTGCCGACATGGCCAGTGTGATGTTGACCTAGATTTTATCAGCGTCCAATCAAATGTGGCAGCGAAGGACAACTTTTAAGGACAGGACGTCCATTTGTACGACCAGATTGCGGAACATACGGGTGCTCGGCTGCGTCAGAACTCACAGAGAAGAAGCTGGAGTCAAAGTGCAACAGGGTCATGAACATGAGCACCAGCAGCACTCGACCGCCCAGCTGCATGTACTGCTTCGGCGAGCTCTCTCCCATGGAGGGGACTCCAGCAAACATGCTCTTTCCTTCCGAGCGAGACTCAGCCAGCAGCAGGAGCAGACCTCCTCCGAGGGCCAGGTTTCTAGGGGAGGGGAAAGAGGGCGGTTATTTTTGCACGCCGTTGTCCTGACGAGCAGAAGAGTTAGCTGAAGCCGAACTGTAATCACCCGTTAACAATCACTCTATTGACTGAAATTATGCTCTGCAGCAGGGTTGAAACTACCTGTTCTGTTCTTGCCTGCTGAAGTGCTTATTTAGCTTGTATGTGTGGTTTTCTAACCCTGAATAACTTGAATGTTTCATCAATCACCACAACTGGAATCTTTCTATCTACTTGTTGATTATAGAACTGATATATTACATTATACTCTGACTCAATCCTAACAAACAAACAAACGGACAACAAACTAAAAGGACACAGAATGCATAAACAGGAACACTCAGGAGTAGCACTGCATTTAACAGATTTCTCTCCTGGCTGATGACTCATGCAGTCTGTCGATGTTTATAGAAATCACAGGTCTTGTCCACAGTGATTATAGTAATCGTAAGCGTTGGTGTCTCTGTGAAAACTGAGATGCTTTCTGATACGCTACGAGCAAATTAAAGTTGCAGCAACAAATGATTTTGTTTTTATGAATGACTAAGCTAGATCAAATTAGAAATAACAGATCAACAACAAGCTAATGGTATTCTTCTGACTCTGCACGCAGCCTCATGCCTTTTAAACTAATTATTTACATTGAATCAGTGATGACTATTTATGTTTGGAGGGTGGATCAGGTGGTGCAGTTAAAATCATAATATCCCAATAAACACGGCTTGATTGCTGCTGTTTGTGTACTTTGTCCGGTATATTTAACACTGAGTGACACTTACCTCATCAAAAATTTAAGGTCCCATAAAATGCTGTATGCAACAGTCTGGTGGGAGGGGGAAAAAAAAAAAGATGAAAACACACTCTAGGTCAAATACATGCTGCTTGTAAACAATAAAACTGTCAATGCAATACAGTTCTTCTCACCTGTAATGCTATGATGCCAAATAATCCGAAGCAGGCATACTGTACAAAATTTCTACTGAGGATGAGGACACAACCACCTGTGAGGACGAAGATTAAAGAGAAGTTATGGCTACAGACTGGAATGTTTTTCATTTTTATCATCTTATCCGAATTGATCGTAATTAACATTCTGATTAAAGCCACTTAAGTAAATGTATTTAAGTGAGATAGCTCGCGCTGTTTGTGCACATTTTGTCTTTTTAGTTTCAGGCCTATGAAGAGGATAGACACATTTATCTGCCAAGAGCTTATCGTTCTATTTGGCAGGCACGATGTGTAACAGGATAGGTCCATGGGTTTATAGTAATTACGCTCCAGTCTGGCTGCTACCTCCAGCAATGGAACCACATCAATCCTAAAAAAAAGAAAAAAAAATCCAACCTCACCTGTCTGGCTTCATTGATGTCTAGTTCTTACATGACAAGAATGGAACCTGACATCTACCTGACATGTTCTGCTCTTGCAAAAACAGCGCATCACCGACATAAAAAAATGCCCAGATTCAAACGTACATGGCCCGACTAAGAACAACGAGCTGATCTGTGCTCATGTGGTTTTCCTGGCTGGCTTCCTTCAACAAACTTCTAGAATCTGTGAACCCGAGTTTGTTGTGCTGCTTTTCTTTCGCAACTTTTCTGCAAACTGTAGATAAGATGTGGTTGAAGTGCACTGGGCTCTTTCTTTGAACCTATTCGTCCTTCATGATGAATCCGTTGCAAAGTCTCAGACTGAGGCGACTGAATTTCCATTTCCACTAAGATGCTGGTTTACTGGGTACACCCAGCTAAAGCTAATGCAATCTAATCCGTCAGTTTGGCAACACGGTATTTCTTCATGAACTGAACTGCTTTATAAAGAGGTAGAGCAGTTTCTTTTTTTAGCCAGCAGGGTAGACAGAATAATGGAAACACCCATCAGTATGAGTAAATACATCTGCATTGATAAGCACCACAAACTGTAGCCTCTAAAATGATCAGAAGCTTGAATCAGCACATCTCTGAAACAAATTCAATAAGTGAACATTATATTTTACTGAAGGAAGATTTATTGCAGGTCTGTCAGGGGTACTGAGGAAGCTTGCAACTGCATTATAGTCATGCATTTTGGCTTTCCTACTTCGAATAAGAAGGTCACTTGGCATTTTTTTTTCATCTCATTACGCTGCTAGCATCAAAAATCACACCTACTTCAGTGAGGTTATTTGACTTGCTCCTCTTATCAATGTCACAACTGATGTCGCCCACCTTTCAATGCAAAAACAACAGCAACACGTAATGTCCTGGCCCCCAAACCTGAGCACGTCTTCCATTCACTCACCCAGCTGTCCGATGAGGTTAAGCAGCACGAAGCACGTAGCCAAGAAGTAGCCACAGCTCCAGGTAGCCTCGATGTAGTCTCTCTGCTCATTCCACTGGAACCACATGCGGATCCCGTCTTCGAGGAAGGTGCTGATGAGACACAGACGTGCCAGGTGGGGCAGGTACTGTTTGGTTACCCGCAGGAACTAGAAACCAGAGAGGGTAAATTACTGACATGTAAAAGGATGATCTGATGGAAAGTTGTTGTTGCTGCGGTGACTCTGAGCCTGCATGCAACAGCAAAACTGGGAAACGACAAAACTCCATCACCAAGACATAAACTACTATAAAAAACAAATTCAGCAAAAGTCTTCCAAAGGACTGCTTTTAAAACACCCGTAAAACACTGATCTAGGAACAGTCCAACCGAGTCTTAACTGTGAGGGAAAGGAGGCTTGAGGGCTCCTACTAATTATCATTTACACTGTCAATTACAGGGGTGGGACATTTGAATGCAATTGTCATGTTACGTTAATGTCAAACAGCAGCCTTTTTCCAAAAGACTTTTCTTTTAATAAACAGGAACATCCTAAAATAAAAAAAAGCTGCTGCCACATATGGATCTCCTTGTAAAATAGCTCAACAGTCCCTGGAGCTATGGCAGTTAGGGCTGCTACCTGTGGAGCCAGTTTTTACTGTTTTAACATGTAACTACAACAAAGTGCGGACGAAATGTACACCAGCTTCAGCCTCTTTCCAGTCCCTTTTATCATCGTAGTCAACTCTTCTCTATGCAACATTTAAAACAACTAAACAGGAAGTAATAATCTATAAGGAGGAGTTATAAAAGGATACACTAACTGATCTGTTTCCCGGAAACAGAATGAATTGACCTTAAAAAGAGACCATGTGCAGGGTAGAAGTGCTGCTGTGGCCTAAATATCTCTAGACAACAGGGCTGTGGTTTCTTGTGAACATCCCAAAAGACTTCTTTTTTTTTTTTTTGGGCAAATGAACAATGCTGAACAAAAAGAACACGCCACCCTCGGCTCTTCTTTCAGAATTCATAGCCAGGGCCTTCGGGTACTACAGTGACACAGTGGGCAGCAGTGACCTGCCCCCCGCCCCGCCTCCTCGGCAGTCCACATCAGCACAGCCAGACCTCGGCAGCCTATCGGCGTCCACCAACTCCCACTATGACTGCTGTGAGGGACATGAATGGGCGAACTCGGAGCCAATCTGAACAAGCCCAGGGTTGCCGCAACAGCCTAGAAATAGACTAATCTGAAGTGTTATGTCTGAGTAAAATTCTGGCTATTAGTGAAGGATGGAGCCTTTTTAATGGGATTCAGAGAGCTTTATAGAAAATAAAATAAACAAACCAACTGTTGCAGGCATTTCTGTGGCTTAATGGCGCAATTTTTTACAACACACAGCACTCGTGATAGGAGTGTATAAATCAATTAGGTGCTATTAGATTAAGGAGGTGGTGCATTTTCAGGGATGTGGATGAGAGTTCAGGCAACGTCAGATGCCATAAACATACCCAGGAGTGACTTGATTTGTTTGATCTGACAGCAGTCTCCTAGGAGAACTACATATCTGCAAAAAAACAACACCAGCACAGATGTCTTTTATGAGCCAATAACTTCCCAAACAAAGATAAGGTTAGAAAATGGGAGAGAGAAAAAAAAAAATCAATTCTCTGGGGTGGGTTTTTGCAGTCTGCACACCAACATGGGGTCACAGGCAGACCTGAAATCTGAGCAGCCTGACAGTCACACCAGTAGGAATGAGCAGAAAAAGAGAGAATAGCAAGTACAGAAAAGCAGTCGTGGCATGTGAGACAAAGTGAAAGCAAGCTTCACATGCAGTTTATAGGCTGAGCTGGGTGGTGGGCTACTTCTTGCAAGGCCAAAATGCTCGATTGAAGAAAGTGTTGTTGAAATTTGAAGAAGCGATGAGCAATTAGGGTGCTAAGCATGACTAGTAAGTGTTAGCCCACAACTTGGTAGCTTAGCTGAGTGATTTCACAACTGTCTAGCCTGGCTGACTGTGCCCACTGTTCATAAAAAAAATCCGACAGGCTACAGACGTGCTAACTAGCTGGAATAATGAAGCAACCAAGCAAATGTATTTCTGTCTCAGCCGAATTAGTCACTGCCAGACGCCACATTGATTTTCGGTGAATTAATAATGCTATCAAATCCATCTTGGGAGACACATGACAGGAGCTGACATCTCCTGCGTTTATCAGTCAAACTAAAATAAAACACGAGTAAAACGGGCTAAATCACAGTCGAGTTAACGCAGTCGGTGAGCTATAGCGGGAGGCAGAAACACGAATTTAAACGCTGAGGGAACAGCTCTGTACAAACTAGTTAGCGGCTAGCATGCTAACAGCGGCTAGCCTTGTCAACTGGCGAGCTAAAGCCGAACTTACCTGGTCTGCCACGTCTTCGGCTGTGTTCATAAGATCCTCCTGCCCCATATTTGGCTAATATTACAATTTGTAATATTTAAGGCTTCGGCCGCAACACAGTCTCGGTGTGTTGGATTCTTCGCAGGCTGCGCTCAAGACTGTTCCTCCCCCCGTTATTTACTTGAAGATTTCCCCGATCGCCTGGACGCAGAGAAAAGGCCGCCTCCGCCCCACAATGCCCCGCGATTTGACGAGCGAGCCGGAGCCCCCCTACATGGTACTGCAACCGCTGCATGCCACGTATGCTGAACCGTGCAGGGGCTTGACACAGATACCCGGCATTGTTTACGGCTTTTGCACAAGTAAACAAGCGCAGGTTAGTGTTCCTCACCACACCTGATGACATCTTTAACTTAAAAAAATAAAAGCTCTCAGATGAGTCGGTGTGCCACTTTCCTCATGCAGCCATTATCTCTGTAGATCACAATCATCCATGTGAGATCGTACAGATGCTGACACTCCTGCCTGTTTAAAAGTCTGTATAGTGATTAAACTCATATTTATCTAACTATTACTACGACAGATAGTAAAAGATAAAAAAAAAATAGAGTGCAATTAATTTTATTTTTTATTGAATTTTATCAGCACATTATTATTATATTTTTTTAAAGAACACACTTCAAATATCATTCCTAGCAATTAAGTTAAAATAAGTTTTTTTAAAAAAGCTATACCTAGTTAACTAACTGTTAATTAAATGTCAAATGATTCAACAATGTATGGCCTTTACCCTAGTCAGGACTTGTGGGGCCTTTTGGACGCCAGGTCATGTGGTTTAGGTGACAGGTATTGTGTTTTTATTTTCATTTATTTATTTTTTATATATATAAAAAGAGGGACATTTGTCATGCATTTGGAAGCAAAAATCTACTTATCAGAAAATTTATTTAACTTAGTATAAAATTCTATAATAAATACCAACACATTTTTTACACATATTCTTTCTTCAGGTCCAATGAACCCAAAAGACCTTCTACATATGGCAACATTAAAGTCCTGAGTAATAATAATAATAATAATAATAATCATACATTTTATTTATATTGTGGTTCATATCAGAATCAGAATCAGAATCAGAATCAGAATCAGTTTTATTGCCAAGTAATTTTTACATCACCAGGAATTTGACTTGGTCCATTGGTGCAAAGAAGCAGAATATTTTCACAATCTCAAAGTGCTACAGGGTAAAACAAAAGTAATTATGATTAGTAAAACAGATTATAAAAACAGTCCAAAAAAAAGGAGAACCTAATAAAAGAGTTCAGCAAAATGCTTTTCTAAAAAGACATGTTTTAAGATGTCTTTTAGAATCATCTGTAGACTGTGGAGCCCTCAGGTGGTTACCTGAGGGAGGACGTTCCACAGCCTCGGGGCAGCAGAGAAAGAGAGCAGAAAAGGCCCAATCGCCCATAGGTTGGTTGGGCTTGGTTCTAGGGGACTTGGAGAGTGTTTCAATTTGTAGAACGGAGGGTACGTGAGGAGGCCTGGGGGGAGAAGAGTTCCTGAAAGTAAATGAGGGCGTGTTCATAAATGCACTGGTGGGTGAGGAGGGAGACCTTAAACTCAATTCTGAGTGAGGGTTAAAGTAATCACATTACTTCAACGTTGAACAGTAAGGTGTGTGCTCTTGTGTAAAAGTAAAAACTAACAGTTCACTCTTACTGTATTTAAAATAAAGGCCCCACAATAGGAACCAAATAAAATCAGTCAAAAATCAGCTACACTGAGATTCTTTTATTTTTTAATTACTTCACGTCTATTGTTATGTTTGAGGACACTCTCAGAGATATTCTCCCATTATTTAGAGATATTATTTCTCAGCTGATCTTTGAGGGATTGTGCAGCTCTACTTTTCTCTTTAAAACAACCCAGAGGTCATCTATTGGATGCAAGTCATCCAACATACTTCTCCAGGTCATGTCTTCACTTTTTTCTTCAGAAACTCTTGTCTGATTCTGGCAGTCTGCTCTGGATCATTATCATGCTGGAATATTCCTCTTCTGCCAAGTTTCCGCAGACTGGGAGTCATCTTGTCAGCTGGTATTTTGGTATATCCTCACGTATTGGTGGTGCCAGTTATAAACATCATCTCCCAGCACTCACCACATCACCACACTCCCTCCTCTGTTTTCCACTGTCAGGACCATGCATTTACTGTGGCAGTCCTGGCCAGGCTTTGTTAAATATTTGGGACCCATTTGAATCAAACAAATTTATCCAGACGATCATCTGACCAAAGAATGTGCTCCCAATATTCATACGTCTTTTGGTACATAAAGTTTCATTTTGCACTTGTGGGCCAAAGCACAAAGCAAGTTTTTTTTCTTGGCCACCATCCATAAAGGTTAAGATTATACAATATTCTTCACACTGTCTGGACTGTCACTGAAACTTGAGTTCCACTGATAAGCCCCCTGCAAAGTCTGAAATACTTCACCATCTGTTTTTCAGAGATAAATTGTGCAAGTAGGAGAAAAATCACTGCGGCTCTGATTAGCAGTACTACAGCTCATTCTACACCTCCTGATTACTGCTGTGACAGTGTTTCCGTTGATTTTTAGTTGGTCACCGATCATCCTTTATGCATTCTGAATACTTTCCTGTCTTCATGAAATCTCACAAAATCAGATTTATTTTTTTTAGTTCATCTGGCAAATCTTTTCCATGTGGAGTCACGATGTCATGATGCAGACATGAATGGACACAGCTCAGAGGTGTGCTCAGGTTTGTTTCAATGATGACAAGGTCTTAACTTTTGTGCCCATGATCACAGGTGTATTGACATTTGTTACACTGAGTTGCTACTTTGGGGGATGGATTCGTACTATAGTCTTGCTAAAGAATTTATTTTTGATTGTTTATATGAGGAAATACTCTACTTGTCAACTTAGAAATAATGCACTTATCCAGAGGTCATACATTTTTTTGTCATTTGATCTCAGTGGTAGTTGATGTTTATAAAAGTACCTTAATTCTGTTCATTGGCACATTTCTGTATCTGCATCTCTCTTATATCCATCCATCCGTTATCTATACACCGCTTAATCCTCATTAGGGTTGCGGGGGGGCTGGAGTCTATCCCAGCCGACTTCGGGCGAAGGCAGGGGACACCCTGGACAGGTCGCCAGTCTATCACAGGGCTACACTTAGAGACAGACAACCAAGCACACTCACATATTCTTGTAAATTTTGTTGACATTCTTCTATATTATATTTTCTATACTTGTATCTTCTTACATTTAATCTTCATTTTATACCCGACCATAATCATCTGTGTTGTCTTTTGCCTTGTTTACCCCCTTTGTTGAATAGTCATGCTGCTGTAACACCTGAATTTCCCTCGAGGATTAATAAAATCAGTCTAAGTCTTTAAGTTGGAAATGTAACATCCACACTTATGATATGCAAAGTCAATCTTTTGAGCTTTTTCTATGTGATGACTGCAATGACTGTTGGGAAAAAAAGGCCGACAATATTTGCAAATCCAAACAGAGTTGTATTTTGCATTTGACTGCAAACCAGAAAAGACAGCTTATCCATTCTAAATGATGGGTTAACTTTCACAAACACATTTCCCATGTCATGTAAACCAGCCTCGAAACTGTGCAACATCACGACATTAAAAATAGGAAATCTTTGTGAAAAATGTGAAACATCCGTGATGATGGATGTTTAAAGGGCAGCCTGGCTCAGACACTGATGTAGTCCTCCAAACTGGATGTCCATGTCACGTCCTGACACATAACCAGGTACAAAAATACTGTACAGAAATGGTTTTGCATTTTATTTTCCATTTTGCGCTTTGCCTTTTTTCTTGCGCCCTGATTTCCAGTGGTTATTTCGGAATTTCTTCTGAAAACCACCACCTTGAACCTGAAAGACAATAACATCTGTCAAAGGTCAATTCTACTCCAGCTCCACATTACAACATTTAATTTCTGCTAAATATCAACACTGATTTCAAACATAAATCTCATTCCAAATATAAATATATTACAGACCTTTTTGCGTTTCTGCGCCACCTGCTTGTCCACCTCCATGTCGTCCTCCTCCTCCTCCTCATCCTCATCTGTTTGAAAGTCATCTTCCTCTTTATCTTTTTCACCCTCCATACTTTCTTCTTCTGGGTTTTTTAAACTGAACATAGCAGCTGTGGGGACATGAGACACACTGTTACAGCACCATAACAGCGACAAGTTGTTTGATCAGTCTGCTTCTGCATACCCCGGTACAGAGGAGAGCCAAGTTCTGAAGCTCTTACAGCCACATAGACAGTATATTTATCAGACAAAATTCACTCGTGTGCTATTTTGCCTGATTAAACCCTGGATAGTCTCGGACCTCCTTGATACACAGTTGGATGCAGCTGTCCTAATAAATCATGACAGAAGTCAGAAGTGTGTGCGTGGGAGATACTGACGGGGGTAGAGGTCACTCATGCTGTCCTCTGAGTCACTGTGATCCTCCTCGCTGGACGACGGCTCCCACATGCTGTTTCCACGTTTCGAGGGCATCCCCCGACTGAACTCCTCTCCGGTGGCTTTGGGCCTTTTCTGTTTCATTCTGGCGGGAACGAATTCAATCCCCTGCTTCACACACTCTTCATCTAGATCAGGCATAAAGCAGACATGGAAATAATCAAGATGACAGAGTGCACTGACAAAAACTCACATCTGTCCACATAGTATCTTATATAGATTTCTACAGCTTTGGAAATAAATATTAGACCCCAGAAATCCCAGTTTTCTGCCTCGTCTTTAGCAGTTCTTGCTGTAGTCATATTGTGTTTTCTTCTTAAGGGTATAATTGACAGCTGATTCCTCTTTGTTAAGCACCAAGATGGCTGTCTTCTTGTTATTTTGCAATTCTTCTAGGTATGTTTTAGACCTAATTGTTTGGATTATCTGTTGACTTCACACATATAGATCATGCCCAAAACAACCATGAATCATAATGTTTTCAGCCATCTAGTGTGAATTTTGAAACTGTTACAGTTTATATAAAATATAACATATTTTTCAGCATTATTTGTTGCATGTATTGAATTAATATAAAACCACGTCTTTTCGAAGATGCTGTAATTATTTAACCAACGTGACAAAGTGCAAACTAAATGTTTATGGCCTGTTGTGTCTCATAATTATTTCCAAAGCTGTATGTAAGTCTGTCTTCCTCTCATATTGACCTTTTACTTCAACTCACCAGCATAGACATGGTTTCCCTATCTAAGGGGACAATGAGCAGCAACAGATATTAAAGCTCATCGAGAAAGACGGTAAAACTTTGCTTATGTCCGCTATGTGTACTTTACTGCAATCTGCATATTTGTGAGCACAGCAACATCCCAAACTATATCTTAGTATGTTGGTGAGAGTCGGATTAAAAACGACTGTGTTCAGTAGAAAACTGACAGTATTATCTGATAGCTTTGATTTCCTTCCTCAATGATGGGTAGTTTGGTTTTGCACAACATCCCCACTGCTCAAATGGCACAATATCTATAATCCACTGACTACTGGGTGGATATGTTAAATTTAGCACATCAGAGAAGCATGAACCAGTTAAGAATCAGCGCCAAGCCTCTGAGTCTTTCCTTTTTATCTTGAGAAATACTCTTGGTGAGAGATCGGCTGAAGAAAAGTGCCATGCGTGTGGATGAGGGATTCACTGACATTTGCCGAGGGCTTTCTTGAAGCGTTTCCCATTAACATGTCTTAAGACGTGGTGCGGCTGCCGATTGAGATGTCTGAGGGTCAGCTTGCAGAAGAGCTGATTGCTAGAAAACACACAAGAAACATTAGAGAGTTCTGATTAGCCTCTAAAATAATAATTTTTAAAAATCCTGGCATTTCATTGACAATCAGGGCAGAGAGGATTATCACACAGAAACACTTGTGGGCAACTAAAGGTCTCCTTACGGTTGCTTTGTGCTTGGCACGATGTGTGGCTCATACTGGCTGTAGTTGAAGTCTGCTGCTGCACTCAGTCTCTCATATTTCTTCGCCTTGGTGAACTTCTGCAGCTCCGTGAGGTTGCAAGGAAACTCGTGGCCGTTCAGAGTGCATTTGATCTGAAGATAAACAGATAAATGATACTGATGGTGATAAAAGTGGTAATCATTCAGTGGTTTTTAGTCTTTGGTCAACACATCTAGCCATCACAACACCAGCCTACCAGTAACATTAGCATACAGCTAGCATCACAATGCACGATTACAAGTGTTTTTCCTTTAAATGTGATGTAATTTGCGCGCTGACCTTTTTAGCATCTGTGAGCTGAAGAAACGGGTGATTAAGAAGAAAAGCTTGGAGGTCCGCAGGTAATTCATCCATAGCTCAGAAACACTTAAAAACAAGATTGTTAGCGTGCTGATCAGGTCACCTCCCGAAACAGTCCACACGTGGTTTGAGTGCGCCGACTGTTGAACGATCTTGGCGCCATCCGCTGATCAAAGCAGGGAAAGGCAGCTTAGACGAAATGATGAAGCTTTATCCTATCATCATGGCAGTTATCACACATGAACCTTTGATTAAATTAGTACAAATAAAAACAAATCAAGAAACGGTTTTGAGTGGTGGTAGCAGGGAAATAGATGAGATAAAGTGAGCAAAGAAAGGGGAACACGTGTAAAACTGCGCACAGTAAATCACAGACACATCAGTGTATTTTAATATGTGTAGAATCAGCTCTAGTGACTGTACTTTTTCGGCCACAGCATAAAAATACACGTTAATAGGCTCATGTCAGCTGCTCGCACTGAGTCCAGTCAGCTGACTGTCAGTTCCGAGTCAGAGAGGTGCCTTAGAAAGAAGAGCGCTCACTCTGATCATATTTAGAGAAACCGTAAATGCAGTCGAAAAATAAACTGCGGAGGTGTGTGAATTAAAAATCTGGACCATGTTTGAAAACAGTCACTAGTAATAGTAAACGTAAACAGACTTTCAAACCTTCTATAGTGCAGAATTGACGATATTTTAACTCAACTATCCATCTGGTAATTCGCACAGAGTGAGACATCTTCCTTTGAACTGAAGCCCCGCCCACATTCTCCCAGAATTCATTGGCTCGATAAATAGATAATTTGACGTTTGCTAAAAATGTCAAGCTAGCTAACTGGCCGTGTCTGAGAGCTTCTGCTGGACAGAGCGCCTGAAATTAACGTTAAAGTAGACCCTAGTTAGCACATTTCTTGCTAATTTAGTTGAATTTAAACAGTTTCTCGTACAGGGCTTGTACGCATGCTAGTTAGCTAGCTGGCTAGCTTGACAGCATAGCATTGCTCACGTAACTGTTTTTGTAACAAAGTTAAAAAACGTGAATATTTAAATAATGTCTGGACCAAATGGAGATCCAAACATCTGTACTGACGACGGGATCATCAACGACGAAGATGAATTTGGCGAAGAAGGTAACGAGTACTTGTCCATTCATTGTAATCGATACTAATTATTACTGCAGTTAAAGACGAAGTCAGCCTCTAAAGCTACTCCACTGTGCTACTGTGGTGATTTTGGTCAGTGAAACTAGTTTAGTCAAATTATTCAAACTCTACGTGGAGCTTTAAAACATGTCAGGTGTTGTAGTGTACTGGATTTACAAGATGTCTGACTGAAATGTGCATTGAACTAAGTTTGATGTTGGTCTGCTGTGTATCTGCCCGAACTAGAAATAGTGCAATGTAGAACAGATAACATCATTGCTAGTGTCTTTTCACCTTTCAACTCGAGACCCTCAATCATATCAACAAAATAAACTCATCTGTAGAGTTAAGATGAGAAATCAGGTTAGAAATGAATCTTCAAGCCACTGGTACATGCAGTTAACAACTTTTCTGTGCTATCTGTCTGTTTTAGCCATTTGGCCTCCAATAATACAGTTGTTGATAGTTGTGGAAGTCAAAAATGGGCCATTTTGGCAGTGCTCACTGTGTCTAAATTAGACTATTCAGTAGTTTCACATGTATAACCATACACTGTAAATCTGCTACTATAACACAGACAAACATGAGCTTGGCAGTGATCAGACAGTGATGACCAGTACACAGACATTCCCTGGCCAGTGACTGTAAAAGGACACCTTAAAATGCAGCTTTATTTAAACGATATGATGCCACAGATGAAAAGAAAGACAAATCAGTTTGGACCACAGCAGAAATCTTGAATATCCACACCATTTGTCATCTACGAAAGCTCTGGATAGCCATGTTCAACAACGTGACTGTGTTCCTTAAAATTTCACAAGCAACATTGACAACCTCATTAACTCTATGCAGCATAGATGTGCAATTCTTTAGTGGCTTATGATTTCTCGTCTGTGACCTCACTCTTCTGCTGTTATCATTTCCAGTATAGTGCATACTTGGTTGTTTCATCCATACTGTAGCAGATATGCTGTGTGCTGGAACAACAAATACTTTTTCCTTGATGTTAAAAAGATTGGACAAAATTTCACAAAGCATTGCATGCTGCATATATATAATTTACTACAATATTTTAATACTAAGTATATGTATAGTCTCTGTGATATGTGCTCTTTGCACAGCCTGACAGAACAGACTAACCTCCCTCCTGCTTATCCACAGAGTATGTTGCCATCAACTCGATGCTAGATCAGATCAACTCCTATCTTGATGACCTGGAGGAGCGCAACGATGCACTTAACGGCAAATTGCACGAACTGCTGGAGTCAAATCGGCAGGCCCGTCTGGAGTTCAGGGCCCAGCTGCTGGGTTCGCCCGACCAGGAGGAGAACTGTCCTGCAGACGGGGACCCGTCCTCACCCAGCGGCAACGAAGACCTGAACAAGGATAACGAGGGCTCACAAATGACTGACAAGAGCGAGTAGGTCAGAGGGTTGTGTTCAATAAAAAAGCAGGGATAGAAATATTTATAAAAGCTGATTCAACTCCTGACCTCTGTGTGTTGGACTAGTGAGCGCTGATCTGGATAGTCCATGCCTCTCTGATTCATCTGTCAATTTCCACTCCTGTGAGCCAACGTGTGCACATTTTATATCTATTCTATCACTGCAGTTCTTCTTTTTTGGTGAACTCTGCTGATGTGTGTGGCTCCTGAGCAGGTCGATTTAAAGCAGCGTCTCATACAAGCTGGACATCAGATACTTTCCATTGCAGACTTGTGAAATCAAAGTCAAATGTGTTGCAAAGTAAAAAGCTGCTCGTCTGTGTACAGAGAATTGTTTAGGTTCACGTGGGAGATCAAAATGACTACTTTAATGCAAATGTGTTAAAAGATTTTGAAAAAGGTAATGAAAAGATGCAGCAATATTTATTAAACAGTGCTCGAATTACAGGATTAAGCTCAGATCTGCTCCTAGAAATCAATTATGGTTGATGTAAGCGAGAGATTTGGCTTTTCTGAAGCAAGAGATGTGAATAATAAATTCCTGAGCGTTCTGTCCACAGTAATCTGCGCTACCGTCTTTGTACAGATCAATACATCTGAGTCAGTCCGTGTTACAAAATGGGTTACAGTCAAACTCCTGAATGCATTTCTGGATTTATCCAAGATCTGTTCAATGTTTGCATTGGCTTTGCAATAGCTGTGGTCCCTGTAACTACTGTGCTATCCCAAAATGTGTAGCATTCCCATCTATGTGTACCAGTGTATTGTAATGCTTCATCTGTTTAGGATAAGTCTGAAGAGTGTCTGTACGTATTAAGTGTAATCCATGAGAATTAAAACTGAAGTCGACAAAGTGTGGGAATTGTCAGACATTTTATTATAAATTAAGATGACTCCCAAACAGAAAACAAACATCCAAAAATACATTAAACTTCCAGCAGTTAGAAAACATCACCTGTTTGTTCATCTCAATTTGTCAGTAGCTGAATAAAAATACAATAAGAAACATACAGCTTTGTTTGAAATTATCCTTTACATGTCCTTTTTTTTTCTTCTTCTTCTTCTTCTCTCCCTCTCCTGCTCCATTCGGTTTCAGAGCTTTAAAGTACACTTCAGATCACGTCTTGTTCCTTCAGAACATAAAAACGATACTAATCATGTGACAGTCGCCACGATGACTACGAGAGTTGCTACATGTGTCAGCCAGTCCTTTGCGGTTTAAAATATCCTTCGCTTACGTGGAGGATGAAATGTTTCCAGAACAGCACACTGGTCATGCAGGAGGAAGTGAAACAATTCGCATCCCAGTTGTGGTCGTGATGCCACAATCAAATCGATTTTGTATAATCTGTAACTGGGTTCATGTACTGTATGTTGCAGGTGCTTCAAATCGAGAGTTGAAAGTTTGCAAGGATTCTTCAGACACTTCATGAATTTTCTTTGAAAGTAATTGCGGACCATAGGCTAAAGTTTGTTTCCCTCTGTCCAGTGTATAGCAACTTAAATACTCTTCAATGAGAGGAACAAAAAAACAAAGTAAACTGGAGTCAAATAAACACCTCTAACAACATTGTTGTGCTGTGAATGCTTGCAGAAGCATTTTAAGTCCGTTGAAGTAAAAACAAAAAACAAAAAAAACAAACATCCCATGGGCATGTGACACCCAGTGTGGTTTTGCATAAACCCTCGGTGGTGCCAGCATGACCCATTCTATGCAAATGCTTCTATATTTATGGATTCTGAGCTTGCAGCAGCCTAAACCTTCTAAGTGTTAAAATATGCAATATGCAGACATAGCGCATGCAGCCTTTTGTGCACACGGGGGAGCAGCTCGTAAATGAGATTCAGGGCCTGATTAATAGCAGAGGCCTTTTATTTCTTGCTGCGGACGAGCTGATGAAGCCGTCTGCTGCTGGTCTTTTAAGAGCTCCCTTAACATTTCAAGAGCACATGATAAGACTCTTTTCATATGACTGTCTGCACATTGCATCAGGATTTTTGAACTCTTCATGATACAATAAAAAACAAAAACTAAACTGTTGCTATTGCAGATTATAGGCCAATAAGAATGTGTGTAAAACTGGTTTTTAGGTGAGAACGCTACAGCTGCTGACAACCTTCTTTTTTTCTTTGCCCCAAACACCACAACATCAACTCGAACCCAAAATGTGAACAACTAATGAAAACAAAAAGAGGATAAAATGCCCTGAACCAAGCTATGATCAGACTCAAGAATCAGCGTTTCTCAATACTCAAGCCAAAGTACCATTTTAACACTTTTTTTTAAAAACAAAAAAACAAAAGATGCCACCTGCTCAAACACTTAGTTTAGTTACATTCTACACTTCAGCTTGCTAAAAGCGTGTGCTATGTGGTTAGCGATGTGGAACATGTCTCCACTTTACCATCAGTACGGCCTTCTACACGTGAAAGTTTTACTATTCAGTCATCTAGCTAGCTGGAGAATGAGCAGAAGCCGACAATGAGCCCTCAGAAACATCCTGATCCGTGAGGATAGCAGGGTGGAAAATTAACATGTCGGGGGACCAGCCACAGAGAACACCTACCCCGTTTAAAACCTGGACACTGTTTGTTTAGAGGGGGGCAGAGCGGTTACAGTGATTGCAACCTAATAAAACTGACAACACATGGATGTGTTTAGCAAATTCATGTCACACCACATCTGTAATTTTGGGTATGAATGAAACTTTTGTGGCTGAAATCCAACATCATGTCTTAGTTCCACACTACATACTACCTGTATACAACATAACCTCTCGCCTATACACCCTAGTGTACAGTAAAACAGCCAGAGTATAGTGTTGTGGCAGTTAGTAGACATAAAACAGCCCCTATGAGTCACGGTGGTGCTTTGGGATGACTGCTAATAATACGAATGAAACTAGACAATACCAACAAATGTGAAAATAGGATGTGATACTGTCAATTGCATTTGACTATAAGGACAAAATGTTTAACCCAAAGATGTATTATTTTTGTGTTGTTACCTGGGGAGTGCAAAACGACAGTGTGGTTTGATAAGTCAGTTTGCAGTTTTGTAAATGCACTACTCACAACCTGCCTACAAGTCGTACATAGTGTGGAACTGATCACAGCGTTATGCATCAATGCAATGGGCTTTCTGTGGGTATCCAACACAAGGAGCGTCTCTCTATTTCAAAAAAAACAAACAAAACTAAATTATTTTGGATTAAGGCAACATAACTGCAATGTTTTACTGATCGGTAAATACTGAAAAGAAAAGGTTCGTTTCAGACCAGACGCTTCGTAATAATCTCATTTTGACGGCTGTAATGTGAAGATGGAGGTTGGCCTACATAAAAAAAACATCCAACTCAGAGCACTTTCCAACAATCAATAATGTTAACCTGTATTTCAGAGCTGTTAATTTCCCACCCTGGGAGAGCAGTTCACACGAGAAGTCCTGTTCCACTGTGAGTCACCAGCCAGAGTCTTCCTAATTGTTGGTGTGTGTTTATTTCGGACTTTCCAGCATGGAGAGAGGTTGGGCTGTTGACTTCTTGGTCTCGGTTCCATGAAAGCACCTCGTCACGTACACACATCCCGTCCCGTGGTTGTGATTGTACCAGGTTGCGTTTCCCTTCTATGCCATATCGTCGACTCAGCGTTTGTTTGCGGCTCTCCCTGACCTGCGTTTGGGTGTGGCTTTTGCCTTCCCTGTGCCGTTATTTTTACGTGGGCCAGCGGGAGCTTCCTTCTCCTCATCTTCATTAGCCTCCTCATCAGCAGCTGCTGGCTCTGAGTTTGCAGCCTCCTCCTCTCTGCTGCCAGCAGGCGGCTCAGCGGGACTCTCCTGAGCCGAAGACGCCTGGGATGTGTTCTGTTCCTCCTCGTGAGGAAGGCTGAGGTCTTGGTCTGCGTCGCTAGTGCTGGTCGCTGAGATCAAGGCGGAATCCTGTGAGGTCAGTTCTTGTTCTGCTTGTTTCACCTCTTGCTGGTTTTCTGTCTGCACGTTCACTCGGGTGAGCGTGATGATGGGGTGCTTGGGGTTCGTGTTTTTCGCCAAACCTGCATCATCCGAGGGCAAGTTTTCATCTGAGCAGTCCGTGGTGGTTTCTGTTACAGGCCTGAGGCTGTCGGCAGCTTGGAGAGGTTCTCCGGAGGATTCAGCAGCTTCACCTTTTTGACTCACCAACACTCTGTAGCTCTGAGAAACAAAAGCATAAAAACACTGCAGTGAGTCTACAGAGATTCCTCAAGAATAACAGAATCAGTGGATGCATGCACTGGCCTTGTAAGAGCACAGGTATCGTTGGATTGAGGATTACGTAATGCTGAAGACGATTATTATTAGGGATGCACGATGTGATGTAGCGGGCGAATATTCGAATATCAAAATCGCTATCCAGATACCACTACAACGACCGAATATTCGGATATTCAGGTCCAGCCCTAGTTCTCACAGTGCTTCCTTATACTCATTTTTCAGTGTGAACAAAAATTGAATATCGACATCGGTAATATCGGTTATCGACAATATCAGAAATCTTGATATCGTATATTGGTATCGGCCAGAAATTTGAATATCGTGCATCACTAATTATTATTAATACAGTTAAGTTTAAGCTTGAATTCCTTCAATAATGCACATTTTTAGTTTAGTTTCTAATGACAACAATAATTTCATCTGGATCACTGGTATCTCTGTATTAATATTAATTGGCAGTAAGGTCATTAAAAGCTCACCTTGAGGTTCTCAAAGTGCTTCAGTGATTTGCAGTGGGTGTGTGGAGCAGAAGATTCAAAGTTGTAAAACTTGTTGCAGAGTCTGCAGATAAAACCTGCAACTGGAACTAAAAAAGTGGACCCTGCAAAAGGAAATCAGAGTCTCACTCAAATGTGTTTTAGCACAAAAGCCAACCAGTGAAACATCAGGAGTTAGTTACTGACCGTAGACTGTGTCGGGGTCGTACTGCTCATCGCTGGCCATGTCGTTCAGGGTCACTTCTTTCAGGGAGGACCAGCCATCCTGTAGCAGTGAAAGTGTTACTTTACAACCCCAAGATGATGTTAAACTTCATAGGATCTCTTAGGAGGGACTTACAAACAACAAACTATAAGCAAATCACCTGTCTGTCTCCTTGGTCTCCTTCATTACTCTGTCTTTCCTCTCCTTCCTCCATCTCATTCCCTTCCTCCTCCTCTAATGAAAAGCCATCAGTGTCCAGGGCCGTCAGCTTGGCCAAGGCCTCGCAGCCTTTTTCCTGGAGCTAGTAAACAGCGACAAGCACAATGATCAAGTTTTATTTCATCTTCATCTCTAAAAAACACTTGTTGATGCCTAAATCAGGAAAACACAGATATGTCTTCACCTTCTGTCTGTGCTCCGGCGACTGCAAGTGCTCTAAAAACATCTGTGAGGTCTTGAAGTGTTTCTTGCAGATTGAGCAGGAGGACATGTCTATTCTACTGGCGAGCTGAAAAGAAACAGAGTGAAAGCAGATTCTCAACAGAGCAACAAGAAACACAATCTGTCCTAAATATTTTGTGATATTTCTTGAACTCAGCATGTGCACGATGTAAATGTGCTTAGAAAGCGAGCAGCGATTACTTTGTGCTCCTCTGTGCGACGGTGGTCCGTGATGCTGCTGCTGAAGTGAGTGTGACAGGTGGAACACCAACGCTTCGAGTCGGCTTTTTTCTCTCTGCAGAGAACACAGACCAACATTAGTCATGAAGACCGCGTTCTCTTTTTAACACTCTCCTTCTGTCTTTTTAACCCTCTGAACCCCAGGCAGGTTCTGGCTGTTTTCTGCTTCTGTAATATTTTTACTCACTGTGGGCACATTTTCCACTGCGATATAAACTCCTG